AAAAAAAACAACAAAAGAACCCCAAACTCGGTTATCTTCTGAAAACAAAAGAAATCAAAAACCAGCAAGAAAAAAGCACTATAAAACTTTCAATCTCTGCAGACTGTAAATTCACTCATGTCAAGACCAAAAAGGTGGTGAAGCAAAGCAGGCTCCCAGACCAGGGAAGGGGAACCACAGCACAGACTGCCCTCCATCAGGCTATGGAAGCTGCTCTCTCTCTGTTTACCTCCTTCAGTTAAGAAAAAATACTTTTCTATCACTGGTATCATATACCACAGGGTTTTCTAGGGTAGAAGTTTAACAGTAATTCTGTTTTAACACCAGCGCTAACCGGTGATGCCATTCCAGTTCTTCCAAGTTCCCTCTACCTGACCATCTGCAAGAAGCTCTACTTCCCCCAAACCCTGCAATCATCACCAGTACCACTAAACTACTTCGCATTGACAAGATCAAATATGGATAAACAATAAGAGATTACACAAACGTGAGGACACGTTCGCAGAAGTCTATTCAAGACAACCAGAGAGGTTACAGAACCCACATCTCCCCTCACGAAGCTCTTCAGCTGGAAGCAAGTGCAGATCAAGCCTCACAGCTACCCGTCCTGTTTCTGTCTTCTCATGTAGGCCTTTTATTTCGGTCACTGTTGGAGAAAGAATACCATCTAGCTGGATTTCCAGTGCCGATAAACACGATTTCTCTTACGCAGGAGGGCAGTGCAGAGCCTGAGAACTAACACTAGTGCTTGCAGTGGCCAAACGAACATGAGTTCCCAGCTTATTCAAAAGGCCAAGCTGCATCTAGACCCCAAGGCCTTTCAACCCAATCCTGTGCAATTCCACCGAGTCTGCTCTGCAGGCTCAGTGGACCCAGCTCCTACCTGCAAGAAGCTCCAGATCAGCAAGAGCTTCCATCAACAGGAGCTGAACAACTTTTCCCCATAGACAAGGGCAAGGACGAAGCACGAACAGCCAAGCAACTCACCAAGATAAACTTACTGATAAATCTCTCACTGAGCAACTTGGTGAGACATTTCTCCATAAGAGTAGTCATTACAAATACATTTGGTCATCAAAGGGCAAGAATTATAAACACATCCAATCCCCACTTACCCCAACATGCCTTGACCTAGCTATACAACAAAGAGTACTGGATACATTCACACAGGGAAGCAGAGGGGACAATGCTGAGAGGCAGAAACACAACGAGACAAACATGTGGATGCCAGATCAGAGGATGAGTAAGCCACACGGGTAAGTCACAAGTTGTGGGAACCCCTGATGGGTCAAGATGGCTCTGGCTTCCTCCAATGCCACACACGCCTTGTGCTCTTGCACCAGAGCGATTCCAGCTTTACAGAACTAACAGCGAGCCCACTGTATCGAGTACACGGGTGTCGACAGCAGCTTACTATGAAATCAAACCACCACCAAGCTTGCTACTAAATCGCAGCTTCCAACAAGGAAGAGGACAGCGCTGGGCTGCGATGGCACATGCATTTCTATGTCAGGAATTAGGCAGAAGACCACTAAGGCTACTCAACATGGCCCACAAAGCACTGTCCATGTTCAGAGAGCAAGCCAGGCTTCACAGGGATTTAAAAAAAAAAAAAAAAAAGTGAAAGAGACCTGGAGATGGCTGAGCCGAAGACAGTGCAGAACTGTATCATCAGGGAGAAGGGAGAGAGTAGCCACAAGAGCAAAGCAAACAAAATAAGTAAAAAAAAAAAATGTGTGAAAGGCACAGATAAAGCAAAAAATTAAAAAAGCAATCAAGCCACAGTAAATTTCAGGGAATTATTTAATGGCAATCAAATTGCAACACATTATCAGTACAGGTAGTGTTAGCACAGATGTAGTCACACACGCTTCCAGACGAGGGCAGCGAGGCAATGGCTGCAGGAAACCCTCCCGAAGCCTCTGATCACCGTTACTCACGCAGGAGCTGGTCTCCACACATCCAGAAAGCTGGACAGCAAGGGTTTTTCCTGCTTTTAACCTTCCATCAGGTGCCCTCAAGATATTTCTTGTCCCTATGCATTCCCTGTAGGAAACAGCTTCTGCCAAACCCCAAAACAACTAAGATTTCCAACTCTGATCACAGACTTGTTCTAACCCACACAAAGCAGCCAAGGAATGGAAGGAAACAATAACTAGGGGGAGTAAAACTCCCTTTAGCAATCCGCAGGAGATGGAGCTAGGCTTCCCTAGCGCTGATGAGACCAAAATTGCTCCAAGGTTATTTACAGAGGACAGCCTTCCTTCTACTCAAATATATGACGGGGCTTTTATTCTTGCAGAAGGCAGCTTCCAAGCTCTGCCCAGGCACGCAGGCACCCCTGGAACCTAAGCCCAAGGGCTCCTCCACTCCCCTCCACCAGGAGTGGAAGTGCTGAGCACGTTCAGAGAGGGTTTGTTGCCTTACCCTGGCTCTTCAGAGCAAGGTGACATTCTGAAAGCTTGTAACTGCTTTCAGCAGTTTTCTTCTGCATCTGCCGCATGTCTGGGTGTTCTGCCACTTTCTCCCCAGCAAGGGCTGCTTGGGGCATGAGGAAAACCGTCTTTAACGAGGCAAAGCACTTCCCCTTGTCTTCCCTTTAGGCTTCTGGTCTTCTATGGTACATCAGAACTGGAAACAAGAACAGCTCTAGAGCCATTCTGCTGCTACAAACAGTTGACCAAGACCATCAGAAAATATAGCCAGGCATTTCTGTCAGCAGCTGCAGCTACAGCCATGGCCTTCAGCGGTAAGGGACCCGTTGAAGGTTGCTTTATTAAGCACACTAGGGACACAAGATCACATCCAACTTAGTCCCACTGGTTTTTCTATATCATTCCATGTGTGCAGACTGAACAGAAAAGTCTGTAGACACTTCAGAATGCAGCTTACTTGAAAGCATTAGCATAGCAAGGTAATAGTGCAAAAAAAAAAAACAAAACACCACAACAGAAACATATCACTCTTGCATTTCCAAAGAGCTATTAAAGAAATGCAGCAGCAGGCCCTGTTGAAGGGCAAGCTAGATATTTCAAGCACAGTAGTCAGGTTTCCAGTAGTGCCCAGAACCAGCTCTATCCCAGTCCGTAGGTCCATGGATGTTGACCTCCAAGCCACAATAACGTTTAAGCTACTTGGCAATTCCTGCACACTGACAAATGGCTACTCAGCATTGAGCTCAAAGAGTTTGAAATACATGGGATCACGTTCTCTCATATGCAAGCACAGCACACTTACACAAACAGCCCCTGAAAACTCCAGTTTTAGGCAACACAGACTACAGCAGGTATCCGCACTGCCAAGTAACACCAGCTGCTCCATAGAGGCAGTAGTCCTAGAAGATTTCCATGCAGTATGGCTCACTGAGCCTGGAGTTTTTCATCCTCTGGTTCACTCTGCTGCAGTAGATGGGTGCTGACAAACACAAGTAATGTATCCAGGCACAATTTTTCAGCTTTACGGCATTGCCAGAGCTGAAGCAGTTGAGGCAGCTCAGCATTTTTTTAATTAAAACACATTTGCTTAAGTACATGAAGAAAAAAGGGAAATTGCATGTACAATCTACATCCATGGGAGTTCCAGCACAAAGCCATGCGAAGTGAAGTAAACTTAAAATTCTACAAGTGAAAATAATTGTCAGGGACTGCAAAAGGTTAATGACATGACAAGCTCAGAGTTCCTAGAAAGGCAACAACCAGAGCCCCCTAGCTTACTGTGCTGTTTTACATTAGAACACACACACAATAGTTTCAAAAGAGCAAGTTTCTAGTCCCAAAAAAGGCTAAGCTAGATCAGGTTTTAAGTTAAATCCTAGGAAAAAAGGCTCCTTCATCTAGTTGACAATACAACCCTCAAGAACAAATGGTCAGTCCACATGAGGGACAGCAGATGTACTCCCTGCTCAAGCATCAGTGGACTTGCTTTTACTATACTACAACTTCTGTTACGCCATCAGCAAGGAAGTCTGATCTGTTTAAACACTTCATTGCAAGTATCAGACAATCATCCCAACACAAGCACATGTGTTAATATATTACCTAAGCTGAAGCTGTTGCAACAGTCAGGACTCTGCTTCTATTCACATATAGCTGGATTAATTCTGTCACCTAGCATGTGTGAATTCTGCCCCCTCAGAACAGAAAACCATCATCCTCAGCTTCCACACTTGTTATGACCTCTGATCTCCTCCAGTAACTGCCAATGCTAAAAACCAGCCAGATCTGCCACATTAAAGAAAAATAATAATAATAAAAAAATCATTCTCGAATGGCTGATTTGTAAAGCAGTCAAGGGGAATCCCCCCAAAGAGGGGTGTACTGCGAGGTTTGCCATCACTCCAACCCACCCTGCCTGTACTTCTCAGAGAGTAGCTGGTGACCCCACTGCAAAAACCTAGGAGGATGACTCCACCATCGCCAATGTATGTTCTCTCCCTTGGTCAAAGATGGTCTAGCAGAAGTGTTAGCCTGCATGTTAGAACAGATCAGTAAAGGGCAAGGCCAGACATGGTTAAAGGTTAACACAAAACCAAGGCCACGCTAGCAGCCACTAGCTTACACTCTAGTTTTGACAATATGATGAGTTTTTATCCAGGGCCACACTTCAGTGATGGGCCACGTACTGCTTTCTAAGCCAGTGAAGACACCAACACCTTGTGGCATGAGTGCCAAGAGCTTCAGATGACCCAACAGCCAGTCCATATTCCTGCACGCTGTGTCTCTCCCCCTCCCCAGTAGCTGTCATCCTGTCACTCTGCCAGGACACACGGCCACACGCTCCATTCCTTTTCCAGTGAAGCTCTGCTCCACTGCTTCAGAGCTGCTTTGCTCCCACGCAGCAGTGTCACAGCGCTAGAGCAGAGTCTTCGTGCCTGCTGGAGATGCACAGGTACCCCGCTTTCACCTACAGCTTGCTGTAAGAGGACTCCAAGAAACACTGCTAACATTTACATCCAGCGGTGCATACACAAGGACATTGAGAGATGAGACAAGTGGAACAGATTTAGACCAAAAGCAGTGGACATTTATTCCTCATTTGTGCAAGAGTGTAAAGATGCATTTGAAAATGGATGGGACAGACCCCTGTGGCTGGAGAGCTGGAGGCTACAGCCTCTCCTTCATAGTTGATGGCTTTGTTTACAATTCTAAGAGGAGATAAACTTGCAGACTCACCTATTTCACACCAACAATGCTGGCAAATACACTTGTATACAAAGAAAAGTTTCAAACTACATTTTTCCACTATATTCAAGTGAAGACTTTGTTCAAAAAAAGACACAAGTACAATTTAAAACTGTATGAACATTTGCAAATGTTTAGTGCAAAGTAATTATGTAAAAGCTACATTTTTATGAAAGTTTGTGCTGATGTGTTTGGTAGGTTTTTTTTTTTTACCCTTTTACATCCATTATTTTAGTTACATAAGGTTTCACTTACCTACAGTACATATGCATTGTGTTAGGTCCCATGCAAGTGGGAATAATACCTTCAGGCTTTGTAATATGTCACTCAGATTCTCATTTAGTAAACTGCTTATTTGGTTTAACAGTCAAGTTCCTGGCACACTACACATCCGGATTTCATGTAAGTGCTTAAGCTTATGTTTGTCTTGTTCAGGTGCATAGCCTTGTGTGATGCAAATCAAACTGCTTCATGACTTCCAAATGCAACCATTCGTGAATGCAAAAAGTTTTAGAGAAATCCACCATTAGTTTTAGCCTGTAACAAACTGCTCTTAAAATTAAAAGCCTATTCACACAAAGTTATATGTAATGACTGTAGTAATCAGTTTATTACACAGATTAATCATTCTTGAACGTACAAGCTCCAGGGGAGCAGTTGGGTCTTTAAATATACACAAGTTTTCTGTCAAATGGATTTTTACCCTTACATCCAGAAAGACCTAAGCAGTTAAAAAACTTAAGAAAAATAAGAGCTATTAGCTATGTATTAACTGAGAAACCACATACAAACCAAAAAAGTATGAAGGAGGGGAGAGAGTTGAAACAAATCAACATCACTTGATGCACTAATAGCTCCAATCCATTTAAATGTTGACCGGTTTAACTTAGACCTTAAACACAGGATGTGGGTACAGTTTATCTCATTGGTCATACCATTTACCTAAGGTGTAGGTCCTTCAGAATAAAATGAATACAGAAACAGCTTCAAGTTCTTCACCTTGCTTTTCATAACTGTTATGAGTTTAAAAGGATTCCACTTAAAATCTGTCACGGACCAGCAACACCGTCCCTAGAAATATGAAATCCACCATAACTCTCCCATTCACATTTTATTACCCAATTTAAATCAGTAAGGAATGCTTTTAGGCTCACAAAGTTATGACTGAAGAACCAGCTTTTCACACACACACTTCTCTGGCTAGGAGTCAACGTTGGTACGGGGAAATACAGTATTTCTATTTTGTTGTTCCAAGTATGTACAACACGCAGCACTGCTGTATCAGGTAAACATGTGCACAGGGGAAGATGAGGCGTGGGCTCATAGAAAGCAGTCAAATGGAAATCAAAAGGACTTTCTCTTTCAGAGTTCCCCTATCTTTATTTGTAGAGGTTATCCAATAATTTCTTTAATTACATCGCATACTTCTGAGTCCATTCCCGAGCTATTCTGTTGTACCTGTATGTATAAAAAGAGGATTTACTTAACATAGCATCTGAACAGTATTTCAACTCCAGCAATCTAGTCTACACATGGTATGAACTTACACTCTCTCCAGTAGTATCATGAATACATAAAATTTAAGAGCAAATTGAAATATTAGGCAAACAGGGGAAACAAGAAAGCTCACAGTACTTCATGGAAAAGAACTAACTAGTCATATTTACAACACGAATACAAGACCTTCACGATTCAAGCCACAAAACAGAGCTACCACAGGTCTGAGGGGGAAAAGTATTTTCAGGAAGTCTTACCTGCACCTCCCCCAGCCCCTAACTACTGCATCCCTGTTTCTACTGCTGCAGGTTTTCATTTTGGCATCCTCAGAAAAATAATTAATGTTTCCCTCACACCCCATTCTTCTTCCCTGAGAAAGTTAAGCCTTGTAGCTGTTACCTACCAGGCTGCCAAACCCGGACAGGCTTGTTTCATGCTATACTGATTGCATCTGACTATTTCAATCACTAATCAGAACACTGTAATTAGTCCATTAGAATTTTATTTTTTTTATTCTGAAGGCACAATATGCTTTGCTTCCCAAGCTACCTGTAGCTTTTGCACCCAAAAATCCTTTATAGCCAGAGCCACTACTAGAGGAAGCTCAGGATACTTACATAAAACAAAGCATTGTGATTAACAGTACTGATAAAAGCCATATTTCTGAAAACAAAAGGCAAGCTGTTCTTATTGTATGGAATTTGTAGAAAAAGCACCAGACACTTGTAGCAAGAAGTGTCCTAGTTCTGTACACCGACTAGGTTCTTGTGCTGGAATTTAGTCCAGACAATGGTCTTTAGCTTAAAGAATCTGATAATCCACTCATGAAGGCCCGAGCATTTGTTACTTCACTGTTCTGACACTACTCAAAGCAAGTCCAGTTATGTTTAAGCACAAAATTTATTTCCCTATTTTTTGAAAAAATATGAAGGAGTCCTGCATACATTAAGCTACTTCTCAGAATACATACTGCTACTCTTGCAGGTCTCATTAAAAACAGGATGTGTGAACTTCTCTAACACTGCTTCTCAAGTATACAGTAGAGTAAGCAAGCTTGTGGATCATTTTCCCTTCCTATTTTGTTCTCAGATGACCACATACCTTCAGAAACTAACGCTACTGATCAGATCTGGAAGGGAACAGTGAGGTAGAAAAGTGTTTACAACAGTCATTAAGCTGTTGCTTTTACAGTGCTCATTAGTTCTAGAGTTCTCTCCATTCTTGCTGTTTACTTCACAGAAGTAAATATGCTCCACAGCTTGGAGTCCTCCCACCCCACCTCTACACCACTCGTTCTTCCTTTGTGTTGTCAAATGAAGATGAAACAGAGTATTTTTGTTATTTATTTGCTTGTATGATTCCATCTCCAACAGCTAGCACAGAAATATTCTCCCACTAGAGTAACTGGTACTCCCTCTGCTGGTTACACAGAATTAAAGCACGCAGTGAAGGCTCTTCAGAGTTGGTCACATCCAACTTAAGAGCTCCGTAGGAAACAGATTTGCACTGTCCACTTCACATTTTCACTAAATCAAGCAAACCTGTAATTAACAGCTACAACACTAATGAAAGACTATTGCATGGAATGAAAATGCAGTAATAAAACCAGAGAAGTACAAGGCCTCTACATTCTTCACTTCTACTGGCATATATACCTTTTTCCTACAGCAACGCAGTACCGTTAAGAGATAGCTGTACTACAGATTCCATGAAAAATCTCTAAAAAGACACAGTTAAAGTAAAAAAGGTAAAGCAAAGCTCACACTCTTTTCCAAGAAGCAGGTCCTTTCAGTTCCCCTTTAGGATTTAAGTGTGGATTCTGCTCTGTCAAGAATGTTACATGGTTTTTGGCTTCCATACTCACTTTTCTCTATCTGTTTTGTAGATCCGTGCAATCTCAGGCACTAAAGGATCATCTGGATTGGGATCACACAACAGAGAACAGATGGACAAAAGTACTAGGGAGAGAAAAAAAGATACTGAATTAGCGATTAAGTGCAGCTGAATACACCTGTGGAAGTCAGCCCACCCACTGTCTTCCCCTCTAGCCATCAGTATTAGCATAATTTTTTTAAAAATGCCACGGAGCAATAATCTTACATACTTACACCAAGTTACTTTGAACAAAAATCCTTCCCATTCAACCACGCAAATTTGCATGACCACAGGTTTTTAAATATCACCACCACAACTGAGAACCTGATGGAACAGGTGTATCTGACAACAGCCTTAAATCACAAGGCAGAAGTGCTCTATCTGAAACAGTAACTGAAAGCCTCCTCAGAAAGTATCCCTGCTTTTGCACTTGAAATTCAACTTTCCCCTGAACTAACCTCATTGTTAATGACTTGCAGAAGCACCAAAAGTCAAACAGCAGATAGATCCAACTGAGATGAAGGAAGCATGAGCTGCTCAGCGATACTTAGAAACTGTTTTAAAAAATGCTACTCTTGCAGAAAATTAAGAGGCTTAATCCAATTATTTTCTGAGCATAACGTAGAGATGGACTAACTGTAGAATAGTATTCAAAATGAATCAAGAAAGCAGAGCTTACTGCACTCATACAAAGCCCTGGAGTCTAAAGCTTCAGTATAAATAAATACTGTGTATACCCCAGAAGCCACATCCCACTCATAGGATGCTGCTCAGTGGAGTGTCAACCTTCACCCTTATAAGGGGTCAGGAGACTGCCTGCAAAGCTACAAATAGCACGTGCACATTCCTACATTCACACCAAAGTAGAAGAGATGAGAAGTCAGTAAGTTATAAGCAAAGCATATTGGAACAACACTACATGAGGCATGTCAGGGACACCTTGCCCCCGCTAACAAATGCCAAACATTCCTTTGTATTGCTTTCTCTCTGCCTGTTTTAATCAAACACTGTCACTACATATGTCCTTTCACCAAGAGCAGGAACAGTAGAGGTGTCGCAGTGCATGCTCGAAGCAAGGTAGAGATGACAGCAGTTTGTAAGTTTGAAGGCACTAAACACAAATGTGTTCGAACTTCCACCAGTTGCTACTCTGTTGTGGAGCAGGAGGCAGAGCTACTGTGGTGAAAGACATCAGCTGAGAAATGAAAGAGAACAGCATGCATTCCACTACTTTCTGGGGCATGTGCAGTGCGTTTCTTAATATAGTTTGTGAGCTCACAGAACAAAGAACAGCTAGATACAGACAGAGAAAAGAGGGAGAATAGGTCTGATATTCACAGAATCATTTAGGTTGGAAAAGACCCTTGAGACCACCGAGTCCAACCTAACACTGCCAAGTCCACCACTAAACCACATCCTTAAGTGCCACATCTACACATCTTTTAAATACCTCCAGGGATGCCAACTCAACCACTTCCCTGGGCAGCCTGTTCCAATGCTTGACAACCCGTTCCATGAAGAAAGGTTTCCTAACATCCAGTCTAAACCTCCCCTGGCACAACTTGAGGCCGTTTCCTCTCATCCTGTCACTTGCTACTGTGAAAAAAAGACCAAACACCCATCTCACTACAACCTCCTTTCAGGTAGTTGTAGATAACTCTTCAGCCTCCTCTTCTCCAGACAACCACCCCAGTTCCCTCAGCCGCTCCTCACAGGACTTGTTCTCCAGACCCTTCACCAGCTTTGTTACCCTTCTTTCCTCATGCTCCAGTGCCTCCGTGTCTTTCTTGCAGTGAGGGGCCCAAAACTGAACACAGTACTCAAGGTGCGGCCTCACCAGCGCTGAGCACAGAGGTGATCACTTCCCTAGTCCTGCTGGCCACACTACTTCTGATACAAGCCAGGATGCTATTGGCCTTCCTGGCCAATATTCATGTAACCTGGAGTAGATTTTCAAAGCAGGACAAAAGTGAAAGTTTTACTAGGTCTTAACTGTGCTACTTGCTCAGTGATGAGAACCAAGAACCCAGAAACGGAGTTAGTTCAGTTTTTGTACATAGTTCTGTAGACTCTTCACCCATGAATTATCAATTTCAGAAGTTCAAAGCTTCCAGAACAAGTTTAGTAATAAACTGCTCCTGATTTAAGTGAACACATTGCTTGTTCTAAAATAAACAACCTCTTCCTCCTCTTCCTGATTTTGTACAGTACACTCGTGAAAGAGTTAAAAGCTTAATTATTCTCTACCATCAACCGAACTCAGACTATTTATTCAACCATCTCTCAGAATACAGCTTCAGAGTGTGAAGATTTTTATTTTGTGCTGGAGGCATGTAGAAGCCACTAGTCCTGAACTGCTGTCCCTTGGCGAGGGACACAGCATGTTTAGCACCTGTAGCACTTTCCATCAGCTTCAGCACTGGGGGTTTTCTCCCCCCCACATACACTGAGAAAAACTCACATTACTGTTCAGTAATGGGAATCTCTGACACCTCACACCCAGCTGCTGCCGGTCAGTTTAGCTTCACCACAGTCATTTCTCCAGCGATTTTCCTGTAGCTCATTTCTTTGGATTTCTCAGACTCCACTGCTCTGGTCGCTGAAGTTTCTTCAGCTGGTGGGATGAGTACATGTTGTGGCTTAACCCAGCACCAGGCAACTAAGCACTAAACAGCCACTTGCTCACCCCTTCCCTTCCCCCCTCAGCAGGATGGGGAAGAGAAATGGACAGAAGAAGAAACTCATGGGTTGAGATAAAGACAATTTAATAAGACAATAAAGAAAATACTACTAATGATAATGAATATGCAAAACAAATTATATACAACACAATTTTTCTCACCACCCGATGACTGATTTGCAGTCAGTCTGCAAGCAGCAATCACAGAACCTGGAACTCAGAGGTCAACTCCCCTTTACAAACCAAGCATGACATCCATGGCATGGAGTATTTCCCTTGGCCAACCTGGGCTATCTGTCTGGCTGTGCTCCCTCCCAGCTCCTGCACACCTTCTCGTTCACTGGATATGGGACTAGAGGAAGTCCTTGATTTCTTAGCAGCAACTAAAAACAGTGTTATCAACATTCTTCTCCCACTAAATCCACAATGCAGAAGCTACTGGGAAGAAAATTAACTCTATCCCAACCTAAACCAGGACAGTAACAGCTAACATCAGTCCCCACCCTTTAAAAGAAGCTACAGGAAATCCAATCAAATCTGGTCAACTATTGTAACTACTCCCTCAAGTTCTATCTTACACAGTCCTTTGATCACCAAGGACTTTTTCGAACAAGATGGCTCACCCTTCGTCAGCAGAACCAAGTTGCAAGTCTGTCCAGTCCTCTCTGCCTGCCTTTCCCAACCACTATAATGCCCCTTTCCCCAAGACTCATGGTACTTGGTGGGAATTCCTCCTTGTACACCTCACACCAGCCTTGCAAAACCTCCACATCCTCCTGCTCCAAGCACCAGACCAGATAAAGCTGTTGGGCAGCACATGCACCAGGATAACCAGGGTGTTGCTTTGTGTCCTCCAGAGCAACAGCAGTCCAACAGGCTGACACTGCCCCCCAAGTCAGTTTTGCCTGGTAAGATGCATGTCTGCCTTGCAAAGCACCTCCTTTGCTGAATGGAGGGGGAGAGTTAACCCCTGCCCAGTCTAGGAGTTTTAGTTCTTGGTTTACAGGCTATCAACACGAACTACAATGGCTACTTGCTGGCCATTAGAAAAAAATCCCACGCCACTAATACTCTGCTAAAACGGGCCATGTTTTGCCATAACTCAATCAGTAGCTAAACGCTTCCCATAATGAATTCTGGCAGTCTAATCACTTCAAAAGCCACTTCTACATTTCATTCCTCAGCAGTTCACTTGTTTTGTAAGAAGTGTCATTCCAAAAACCTCCAGTAAAAATGGACACAATTATTTGCCTTCAAGCTGCACTGCCACATTCAGCTGCTTTGTTTTATTTTTCTAAGCCTTCATTAATCAAAACTATTCTCCAGTATGCTTCTCTTGCTAGTAACTTCACATCTGTCCCCTTTTTATCTGTATAGCCTCAGCAAGAAAAAACATTTTTAACTGGGTGTTGTCTATACTGGTTTAATTTTAACAGTTTGCTGAACCCAGCTATTTGTCCAAAATAAATTTAGGAAGTTTCTCTCTTGAGGTTTTCCACCAGAACACTACATACCCTCACATTTAGACCAACCACTGCAAGCAGCCTCCAGACCACTATGAAAAACTCCTTGGGAAAAGGTACTTTCTCATAAAGAAGCCAAGTACAAGAGAAGAGGAAGCAATCCTTAAAAACATCAGTTGTGTGTAGTTCTTTGATGCATCAGAGTAACTAATTAGCCCAATGGTGTTGAAGAGAGAATCACCAGACCACCTTCTTCTGTAATTAAGCATTATTGCAACGAATTTCAGCAAAGCCTTGACATTTACTAGTCAAGTGACTACAAGATTAGTAGGAGATAATTAAAAGCTAGTTCACAAAAATCAAGTTTTGTAACCACAGAATCAGGTTGAATAACTACATGAGACAGGTAAGTGACAACCTTGTCCTACTCATCCTGCATGACCGTAGGCAAAGCTGCTTTAGTTGTATCAGTTTGACAGCACCCCTTCTTGAGTCTTTCACTGAAAGAGATACAGTAGAAGTGTGCACTCTTCAGAATTTAAGTTTGGATTTTTGTCAGTAAAAGCACAATAGATAAATTCTACCTCCCATTGATTCAAGGGGTTTAAGTACAGAGTTATTTCTCATCTATTCACTCTTAACTGTCAAAGCAGTCCAGCCTGTAGTAAAACATTAAGCAACTTAAAACACTACCAGTTTAAAGCTCCCTTTCATTCAAAAATTGGTTTTGCTTCAGCTTTTTTTTTTTATTTCACCAAACACGCAGCCTATTTAACTCCAAACTTCAATTGCAATCCCCATCTATCTACTGCAGACAACAAAAACAGCTTATCCTTTAGTGGGCTTCCTACTGCTATGGACTAGCATGGATCAAGTACTTCACAACGACCAAGGAACCAGGAGAACCAAACTAATCAAGCAGAAAGACTGCTAACAAAGT